ACCAGCGGCAGGACGAGGCAGCAGTGACTGGTGCCAGGCTGCGGCACAGGGGAGAAAGCAAAGACGGAGCAGTAGGGGGTGTACTCGACACAGAACAGGGGGTGCTCACTGCCGTCACCTGCACAGAAGAAAAAGAGCAGTCAGGGGGCAAGGCCTCAGCACCGGGGCGATCGGTTCCCAGGGCGCCCAGGCCGGGGCCGCTCTCCGGGCGCTGGAGCGCAGGCCTGGCCGGACCCCGAGCCCCCAGAGCTGACTTGGGGTGGTGCCACCATCGCACCCTGCCCGGCCCATCTCTGGTGTCCCTGGCAGACGTCAGGACTCGCTCTCCCCTGCCCCCGCGTCCTGAGAGCATCCCTGCTTCTCGGGCGGGTTCTCGCTGCAGCCCCCTCCCCCGCTCTTGCCCCAGCTGTCCTGGCCCCCTGGTTCCGCCGTCACACCCCCACAGCACACGCTCTTGGGGCGCTGCCACCCCAAGGCTTACCGTCCCCGCTCGGCTCGCCCCCTTCTGGGAGATATTGTCCTCCCACCCCATGACACCACCGGGCACTCCCTCTCCCTGGGGATCAGCTCTCCTCTTTGCAGGGCATGGACTCCCATGGGCAGTGCTCTGAGCGCAGCCGGCCTGTTCCTGGTGCTTCCCTGCTGTCACCCCGCAGGGCAGCCACACAAGGGGCCCCCCCTCTTGTTTTCCAGGCCGGATCCCTGAGTTCTGTCCGACTCCTCCTGCTTCCTCGTCCCTGCCTCTGAGTCACCGGGTTCGGCCAGCTGGACCTCCTTGGCCGTCCCTCCACCCATGGCGTCTTCCTGGCCCCGTGGCTTCCCCCAGGTCGACCCTGCCCATCTCTCCTTGGGTCCCTGCAACTCTCTGGTCTCGGGCTGTGCCTGGGCCTCGGCCTCCAGCCGGCCCCTTTACGCACTCGCCAGGGGCCGCCTTTGAGGACGCCACGCATCCCCTCCACGACACGGGCTCCATCCCCTGCAGCATGACATCCAAAGCCCTTGGGTGCTGGCCTCCCAGCACAACATTCAAG